CGCGTCCCGCAGCTTCCGGTCCGCCAGCGGAGGCGGAGGCTCTTACGCAACGCCGCACGCACCTCAGTCTCGCATCGATGGGGCAACGCCGCTATTGAAGCTCGCATGGAGTGGCATTGCGTCGAAAGGACCCGATCGTGCTCTGCAACGAGGCTCAACGCAAATCTCAAGGCAACTGCTTTTCCCAACAAGGCGCAAACCATTTCGTGCTCTAACATTCCGTAAATAACGTATTTCCGTATAGGCTTTGTGGTTTGCTACTAATAACAACATTCGGATCCAGTTTCGGTTTTGATACTCTTTCACTCTTTTTTATAACAAAATTAATACCTGAGCTGTAGAAATTCGATATGCCAAAGATTTTGACGATTATTTTCTTGTTCACACGAAAAACCTCAATAGTTAGAGTACAGAAATAATGTCTGTTCCCTATTTAACTCATACATCTGTTGGGTAGTGATAGTCTCCTCGAAACGTGAGCTCATCGTAACTACTGACTCGAAGTTACGAAGGTATTTTAACAACATAAATCGGAGCTCTGTCATTCGCTTCCTGTAAACAGCTCTATATTTAAAGAAATAATTACAGTTTCGAATTCGTTTTCTTTATTTAAATGTTTTGCACAGTTTCAGTTTCAAGCTTTGTTTTTCATCTGGACAATGAATAAGCAATCGAGAAGAATGTTTTCAATAAGAACTGAAGAATGAGGGCATGCAAGCATTTAGTGCCTGAACTATTTTGTAAAAATATCATCACACAATTTTATAATTTCAAAAAACATTTTTTTTTTAAATCCTCAAAATTTTGAAATGCACACGGTGACACTTTTTAGGATGTTATGGAAAACCACATGAAGTTCTAATAATATTATATTACTGCAACATTTTAAGATGAAAGTTTGAACTAGCTACAGATTCGCAGAGCGTGTCCTTATGGCCACGCTAGGCAGATAAGGGCGCACGGATTTTAAACAACTCAGATATATGCATCTGATCGAGAAAAAAAGAAGCAACACAATTTCGGTACAATGTGTTAGTGTAAATCATACACACACACACACACCCACACACACACACACATTCGTGTAGGTGAGCGAAGGGTAAGTATGGCTCTAATCAGTGTTTAGCGTGAAATACACTTTCGGACACACGACTGTCACAGTAATGAGAGTGAGATTGAGGACTTTTGCCGCCAATCACATCATTTCGTGTAGTGGATTCGTTGGTAGACTACTTCCAAAGATTACACTTAACGCCTGTGTAAGGTGAAAGTTTTTCTGCTGGTTCTAGAATTTTTTGTATGTTTTGGAGGGGATATTTGTTGTAAATTAAATTATGTAGCATAAACTGCGTAATTTTGATAGGAGATTCTGTCGGTTGTTTTCTGTTTGAATATTACTCAAAACGTTGATTCAAAAACAGAAAAACAGGTAAATAATATTTTTATTATAAGTATTATGTTATTTTGAATTATTTTTGACTCTTTACATTTGATTTGTCCCTGGAATAGTGATACAATGTCAAAATAGCAGTAAACAAGCGCGAATTCCTGAATTTCTTTTAAATTCCACGAGTGTTGGTGTCATGTGTTTAACCACGGAAACATGACATCCATTATAATTAACCAAAGTATTCCAGGAAAGTGTGCAGCATTCTCTCGACAGAAAAAGCCATGTTATAGCATATTCGATATCGTAATAACAGCAGATTCGCATCATGTCCCCGAAGCACTCTAATTTTCTATTGAATGCATACATAACAGATATTCACATGAGAGACGCTCACGCTAATATTATATATTTCGCATGAAATTCTCTTCTGTAGGAATGATTGTATTAATCACTTTTCAGTAGCGTTATTAGAGGAAGGAAACCTGATGGGAACAGTAACATCCTGCCTGTCCATATGTCACGTTCTTCTATTGTTCCCACACGAGTGTACTCGCCTCAAGGCTCATAGGAATTGCCAGCACGTCCAAGGCCCTCGGATGTCTGGACAAAGCCACCTGCGCATCTGCTGTCCGTCTCTTCGCAAGAACGTTTCGTGGCTAATAGGAATGGAAACGCCTGGAACGATGTGTAACAATACATGTAAATCGTCTTAAATGCAAGAAAAACAGCTTCCCTTTTTCGTATTTCCTTTGAAGCGGAGCAAATATCTGTTTATTATGAATTTCAATTACAAAGGAAGTAGGGATAAAACTCATTATTACAAATATTGCTCTGCAGTGTTCTTCATATCTTGAAATTATAGAAATTATAGATGAAGATATATTCTACATAACTTGAAACAGTGATTTATTTCTAACTCAAAAGATTGTCTACTGTATATTTTTCTTTGATATACTGAGTTTGATTTCTATTTGTATTATTGCAAAATATTATTAATTTTATATTTTTGAATACGAATATTCCTCTGACATGAAAATGCAATACTTACACCGTTATAATTAGGATGATACTCCATGGTACTATGTCATTAGAGCGATAATTAAAATTGCATTTGGGTTGATTTACCTCCTCATTTTTTCTTCATTAGAAAATATATGTTTCATTCATATTCTGAATTTTCATTCACAGGGAAGGAAAAGCCTTTGTCTCTCTAACTTAATCGCGCTAATATAATAGCATGTTCAAATGTTCACTGAATCTACTGAATCTTCATACAAGACTTTTGGTTGTTATTTGTTAGTCAATACAATGGAATATTATCATTTTAAGATAAGTTTTTATTTTTGTTCCAAGGACCATTGTAAGCGTTTTGTACAAAGCACTGGGAAACTAGCACCCGAGGACCTTAGATCTGGGGCCAGCTGAAGAAGGAGCAGCGAAGCACAATACGCCACTTGCCCTCGCACGCGAAAGATAGGGAGACATAAGGATGCTCAGAGCAGGATTTGAAACCAGAACCCTCGGGTCGAATTCTCAAGCGCTCGACCATTCAGGCCAGCGAATACTTTCCTTACGATAGGATCTATTTGTTCAGCACAACCGACAGATTCCCCTCGCTCATGCGAATTAGGTGGATGTTGGTGTACTTTCGAGAAAGAAGAGAACATCGATTGATTGATTGATTGATTGGTGATTACGGGCGCGTCAACTGCTATGGTCATTAGTCCCGTATGTATAGTGCTTGTTTTCCCGCTGGGGTGGCAGTGATCTTCCCCCGCTGGATGTTGTTATGCAGTGCCGATCTTCCTGTCGACTAACGGGGTTAGCCCCAAGGGGCAGGTATCTCAAACCAGCGGGGCACCGCCCCAGCCAGGAGTGTAGTGCATGTAAGTGTAAGTGTGTGTAAGGGGTAAGGATAAGACAAGGAAGGGGAAGGAACGATAGCGCACGATCCTTGGCACTTTTGTTACAATACAGCTCCGGCATTCGCCTGGTATTGATTGGAAAAAAACTCGGAAAAATATCAATCAGAGCAATCAACAGGAATTCCCTTCCGGGCAGTGACTGAATTCGACATAGCTGACAAGCTAGTGTCGAAAATCCTACCCCCGTTGAGACTCGAACCTAAGACCTCCCTATCAGAGACACTGCAGCGACATCAGTTGATGCCCTGAGTAACCTATCCCGATGAGGACATCGACCGAAGGAATATTTCCTACCAACTATTTCTTTCAAATTTTATATTTCAAGGTATTAAATATTTCCTTAGGTAACTAACATTCCGTTTTACATTCAGAAATCTTAGCATGGTGTTAAAAGCAACATATGAAACAAATTCGTGACAATTTAATGCTCGAATATTCAATCCCAATTATCCAAAAATGCAATGTTCCAATTGATTGAATTTACACATTTCATTTATTAGCAACACTCACGAAGGAAAGTACGAAGAGCCATCCGGTGCGCACGGAAGCCAAGACGTTGGCGTGCGCTTTCTTTTCTTCGCGCAGGGGTGCGAGTGGGGGAAGCAAGTGAGGGCTGGCGCTAAGCACCGCAAATAGGCGATTCGTGCCCTTTTAACGCCCCCGCGGCCGCGGCGCAGCCGCGGCGCGCGGTGGCGAAGCCCGGGGCCTCTGCGTCGGCGCGCGGCGGCGCGGGCGGCGAGGGGGGCGGGGCGGACCGGAGCGGAAGAGCGCACGCGCGGCGCCCGACGCGGGTAAGGGGGGGAGGGGAGGGGATTATGAGAGGCACGGGGGCTGGCGGGGCGGGGGGGAGGGGGGTGGTGGGGTGGTCGCTCGGGGCGCGGGCGAAAGTGTGGGGCGAGGCGGGAAGAAGGGGGGGGGGCGGGTAGGAAAGGGAGGGGGGTCGGGAGGGTGCGCGGCGTGTGGCGGTCGGGCCAAAGTGTAAAAGGCTCGAGGAAGGCGACACGCGCGCCCCTCGCCAAGCAACTTGCAAGATGGTCTTGTGCCTCGGCTCTTGGGGATTCATGGGATGTCTAATACCGCCATTAACTGGGGAAGGGCCGTGCCCCTTGGCCCAATTGGGGACATACGGCATAATTGAGGGTGCGGTGTTCTCTGTATTAATGGACACTGCTTGAAGAGAAGATTTTCATGATTGGCGGTCGTGTTTACCGATGAATTAGCAAATTGATACAGTGAAATCTGCGTGAAAATTGCAAGTCTGCAAAAGGAAACACGAATATTAATAGCTGGGAAGGACTGACTTATTTGCAATCATTGAAGTAATGTTAACTGATGATTATTCATTGGGTTCATTGTACAGAAATATAAAAAGTGTAAACAATGTATAACCGCGTAATGAGAAAGCTTTTATTGTTATCTTACAGAATAGTCGCTAATAAGTTATCTGCAGAAGATAATATAAATTTTAAAAAAGGAAAAAAATGACGTCAAATGAATTAAATTAATGAATACACGATCATTCGATAAAAACAAAAATAAAACATTTTCTCACATAAAACAGTTTGGTGTTTCCCTAGTATCCCTTCATATCAACGCCCGAGTGTTTCTCATTCGCGCTTTGAAATCGGCCTTTCTCCTGTCGATGCAAAGGTGATTTTGTGTGTGATGAGGGGAGCGTGACTCACCCGCCAGTCGGCCGGCGTGACGACGGTGTTGTTGAGGCGGTGCGTCAGCTGCAGGGAGTCCACCACGCGCAGGATCTCACTACAACACCACACGACAACATTAATAATAAATATAACAACAACAATAATAATAATGATAATGATGATGATAATAATAATAATAATAATAATAATAATAATAATAATAATAATAATAATAATAATAATAATCGGCCCCCGTGACACAGAAGGTTGCGGCAGTCGTTGTCTGCGCCGAGAAAGTTGCAGGTTCGAGTCCTGCGTAGGAATGGCAATTGGTGATTATCCCTACACCCTTCATCATCCTCTCGTCTCATAATTCAAGGCTTAACAACCTTGTCTGACAAAGGGATATAGCCGAAAAAATCTGATCCCCATAATGACACACGCTATTCTCTTCGGGATACATATGACTGGGCCTCCGAAGATAACGTGTAGTGTGAAGTCGTAGTCTTCCGCGGCCAGAGTCATGTGGGTGATCTCAGGGCTTATGCAACCCTGACGGAAGACCAACGACAGGATGGTCGAAACGTCGCAACTCAGCCTTGACGCGGCGTCCACCCGGAACAGCCCAGATCACGCCAACGTGTAGTGTGGTCCATAAATGGCCGATAATCATATAATATTATATTAGTAATTATTATTAATAATAATAATAATAATAATTAATAATAATAATGAATAATATAATAATAATAAAATAAATAATAATAATAATAATAATAATAATAATAATAGAAATAAGAGTACAAATTACTTTATTCTATGTGTGGCAATTCTAAAGCTAAACCTGACTGGGATAAAATTCATACTTGTTTTATTTAATGTGTGATGGGTTATCACGGGTATAAATAAATGAGGACAGTAAAAGCGAATTAAATCTAAAAATGGACGATCGCAACAATGGGAGAGAGATGATAAGCAAAGTGTGAATTTTAATTAATAACATTACAAGGGAATGTCTACACAAGTGATGTTGGGGGAAAGTGTGTAAGTTAATAATTAAATTCATGAAAGGACACGTTAGCAATTTCCGTGGGTGTGGGAATAAGTTATGAGAAGTATCACGAACAAGGAACCAAGGAATAAAACAAATACAGTGTAAAATTACGAGGGACCAATCAAAAATACGATCGTGTGCGAGATATTGAATGGACTGCGCACTACAAGGGAAGAAGGGACACGTGGGAGAAGGATCTCGCGCAGGGAGAGACAGCTGACGAGCGCGCAAGATAAACGAGTCAGACAGACTCTTCAGGCTTCTAACGCGGAAGGAGTCGGAAGAAAAGGTGATGTTCCGATGAAGTCGAAATTGAAGTTGAACTTTTTATAATTGTCCGGGATATCATTTGAGGGCATATAACGTTTGATTTACAAGTTTGTAACGTCATTGAGAGTAAGTAAAACATCATTGAGAATAGTTTTGTCGTAATTTTAAGAATTCTACATTAATGATTAAAAGGGGAGATTTGGCCATGTATGTTAAGGGAGGGATTTACTAAAGAATATATTGTATAAGAAAGATAAAACGGGGGCTTGATAAAACATGTATTTGTGAAATTTTTGTTGTTATTGTTGTTGAATTGAGATATGTTTATGTCAAATGTATGTTTGCAGCATAATACAATGGACGATATTGTAAACAAAAGAAAGTATTTTTATTTCTAAAATAGCAACACGGAGGGTTTCCAATGCTATGTAAAGATTTCGTCACTGAAACTCTGTAGAGACGGCCTATCCTTCTCGCAAATAAACATTTATGACGACGGAACGGTGGGTTGAACCTTTGGGCTACGATCGGGTAAATATTGAATAAGAATTGAGTAGATTAAATATTTAAACGGTGCCAAGAGCTGGCGACATCTCGAATGTGATGCATCAAATTCTGTAAAATGAGAATTGGATTCCAATGGGATAATAGACAATCATATATCTTAATCCTTTCTCATTAAGTAGCCAATCTAATATGAAATATTCGCGGTTACAACGTTTAGTGGCCTTGTTGTGACCACATCTTCAACCAGAAACTAGAAAACATAAAATTACAACTAGTAAGTGAAACAGAATACTCTATGGTAACATTAATCACAATAAAATTATTGTATGCTTGAAAGAGGGACAACTACGGCTAAAAATATTTAACAAGCTCTCGAAATAACTTCGAAATAATGATAAGATAAAATGACACAGATAAGCTGTTTGAAAATAACAGCAATAAGTCTCAAGACGCCAACTAAATGTACCCGAAACTTTTACTACTGGAATGATATAAATTTGAAACACAAGAAATACTTAAACAAGGTCTGATTCTTGCATTAGTGTACATGAAGGACACGGCAGGTTTGATGATGATGAGTGTAAGAAGAAACGATTTTGGAATCTTACATGGACATGCAGGTGTTGGTGATAGAAGTTTTGACTTCTGGAAAAATATTCCATTTTCCAACTCAATAAAAATAAACCGAATATGGTCATTTGCTCTACAAAAGAGTTTGCAACTTCGATGCTTGGATTAAGAGACGAAAACTGAATCTCAGCTCAGGGCCATTTTTACTGATTTGCTCACTTCGTTTTTAGACAAACGTACAATCCTCACTAGTCGAGATCACATGGTTTTGAAGAATTTAATTTTTTAATATTCGTGAATGTGTGTCAAGGATTAATTTTGGGTCACGCCATAGATTGAATTATAAACGCGATTTTAATTATGATACACCTCGGATTTTATATATGGAGGCACAGCACTATCCCACGATCGTTTCTAAAACATTACACTTAAAGTTATGTGGCAACTTTAATTCTAATGTAGAATGCATTTTTTTTACTTCTATTTATAACAGTATTTTAAGAAACGTAAAGAACCTGCTTAACAATTAACGAACGTATTAGTAACTTGGAACTTGTTTTCGCCCTTTTATTCCCTCCGCCTCTTTTCTTTTGGTTTAATCTATTTCTACGTGTTCCCTGTTCTCCTCCATCCTCCCTTCTCTTTCATCACTCCAACTCCTCTTCCTCGGTCGCTACATGCATTCAGAGTTGCGTTCCGATCGCAGTCACGCTGCGCTCCGTTACATTGGCTCTCAGGCTATTTTTGAAACGGTTTTCGTTGGCGGCATGTAAGCATTGTGACTTTGCGCGGGATGTGCTCTATTTTTGGTTGTTTAGGTCAGTGATGTGATTCTACGCGTAAAGAACCATAGTTCTACATCTACGCGTTCGAGACAAACGTTTTCGAGAGAATGTTTTCTGCATAGACAAAGGTAATCTATCTTTTTGGTGGGGTAGGGACGAATCTACGAGGGCCATGATACACCCTAAAGCCAAAAATTAATTATAATTATACTCAGTTTATCCGAAGCAATACTACAAATTGATTGAATCACATCCAAAAGAGTACTACTATTATGAAGACATTTTATTTTTAATGTTTAAAATATTTTTTTAAATTTCAAGTTAACATTGTTTTCCTTCAAACAAATATGTATGGAGCGAGTGACAGTTATGACTTGAATTATCTTCATCCCCTTTGAAATACGTGTTGGGTCCGTCTCTCTTGCGGAGGGGAAAGAGATTGGTGTTGCGATCAGGGCGTCACAATATTTCTTCGCATTGGATTGGTGACACTACACCTGGAGGGAGCGAGCCGAAGGCATATGAAGAACGGTATATTTTTTTGACTTACGGAATCGAAAGTAACAGTTTTAATGTTACATTTCAATATGCTTCTACTATTTCTACTTATTATAAACTTGTTTGGGTTATTTAATGTGAAAAAATAAATAGACTACACAGATTATATCATCTACGTAGTCTTCACGTAAAAGAGTCATGTAGACTACATGCGTAGACTAAAATTATAGTCTACGGTACAACGCTGATTAATGTAAGCTGTTATTTTATTAGTCAACTAAGATCCCATTAAGCGCAAGGCCTCCTGCCTTTGTGCAGAGAATACTGAATGAAGTGATAGTGTGATGAAGAAGGGTGAAAAGATGAGCACAAATACAACCATGCCTGAGACGTGTGCCACTGAGACTCGAACACGCAATCCTTTGTTCTGAGATCACCACGACACTGCTGATTTAGCGATCTCGGCCACGCGGTTGGATAGCAGTTGCTTGAATTATGTAAATCGTGAAATAATTTATATTATTTTGTTCATTGTTTTCACATCTGTAGCCACCAATATGTCAAAATAAACTGACTATTCAAAGACAAAGTATTGATGTATTTGATTGACTAGAATCCCTTCGGAATCGAATTCTCATTTTAAATAATTGAGATAATCATTAGGAATAGTAATAATTCATTTAAATGTTTTACTTTATTCATAGTTTTATTCTGTGCACACTATTGTTTGTAAATAATACAGAAGACGTCGTCAAGACGACAGACAATTGCGAATCGTTACTGATATTTCGCACATGCTTCGCAATGTTTCGCTCACAGTGAAAAAAAATGCTGTTTCGCACACGGAAATCAAACACTAGAAACCGCGTTCCGCGCACGGCGTGTTAAAAATATATTTCATTCCAGTACTTAGAGTTGTTGTGTCTTCTGATTAACTGTTGGCGGATCCAGTACCCCTTTCCTACAATGGTAATTCGCTCCGTCCGCGCAGCCTCGTAAGCATATGTTCGCGTCTCTCTGGAGTTCCTCGGAAACTTTCTTGAGGGCTGTGATAATATAAAGTTTTAGTACAACATTCACCTTACCATCCCGGCAAGAACTCTTTACCTACTTCTTCCACAAATTGGAAAACTAAGTCACTTTGTGTCAGTGATGAAATTTGCGAACTTGAACACATTTTACTCGAGATAGTTATCTACTGTTTGCGAAAGTGAACTCCTTGTCACCCCTTCTGTGATGAAGCAGATTCCGTACCACCACTGGCCGTTAGTTGTCCTTTCTAGCATTACTCGCAAGAGGTGGAGATGTATTGCTGCTGGTGTTCAAGACAATAAAGCACGAAAGTGTTTGCTTGCGAAAAATCGATCGACGGCAAAACGTCTGTCTCTGTCTGTCCGTCTGTGGTCAATGCTAGCGCCCAAATCGTTCAGCCGATTTTCTTCAAAATTGATATCCCTAATTGATTTGAATGAACTTTGGAAGTTTCAAACGGATATTTTGATTTTTGAGGGTACTTCACATGAAGCATCCATAACCTTTTCAAAATTTTCACAAAAGAGCACCAAATTATTTTATTAAACTTTGTCTTTGTACAGATATTTATATAATTTTATATTTAATTTTTCGAAAATATGAGATGTTTTCATGTAATTTGGCGCGAAATAGAGGCAATTTAAAAACTATTTTAACCTTTGTTTTTCAAGAACCACCCCAAATTGTTTCTTTAAATTTTTATCTCGGATACAATGGATGCTTAAAAGAATGTGGCAGGTCTCGTTTTCGCTAAGCTCGGTGAATTTTCGAAAATGGCAATTTTGGAAATAATGCGAAATTATATATGCTGTTGTAGCACCATTTTTTATAAAAGTTCAAGAACGACAAAATTTCAGAAAAATAATTAATTAAATACGTTATTTCCCATTAGAAACATTTAATTTCAAAAAGTAAAGATAGTTTTATAGTGATACTCGCTTTTGAGAAGCTGTAGAATTATTTCCTTTTAACAAGTTTTATACAGCATAATGTGGAGAAAGTACATGGCAACTCCAACATTTAAAATCCTGAAACAATGACGAATCCAAAAAGTGCAAAGAATGCACAGCTAGTCCATGCAATTCGTGGTCTAGGAGCTATTCGCGAGCGCGTGTTATCTTTCAATAGTATGTGTTACACTATTTCCGCAATAATGTTTGTGTTTTGCCGCGAGTGCAGGAAATAGAGCATCCCAAAGCTGCGCGATCGCTTGCCCGATACGGGCGCAGAGTTGGCTGACGGCCGCCGCTGCCGCCGCCGCCGCGGTCGCGTGCCGGGGGTCGAAGTCGCACACGCGAGTCTGGGGCGGCCCTGACCCCCCCCTCAGGCATCGCTTGCGGTGCCCGTTGCCGTCTCTCTCTTCGCCTCTCTCACCTGCGCCGCCTCCGCCTCCGCCTCCGCGCCGCGCCGCCAGGCAGCGCATCGATCGCAGCGGAGCTTGACGTGACAGTCCCCCCCTGCCCCTTCCCCGCGCGGCCTGGCGTGGGCGAGAGAAAGCGAGGACACGCGCCGCTGCCACCTCGGGCTCCTGGGCGGCGCGCCGCCACCACGCCCTCGGCCGAGGAAGAATGGAACTAGTGGCGCTACGACACGTACTTTCCAGCAATATTTCTAAATTTGCGTTTTCGAAAATTCAGCGTCTTCAACGAAAATTACACTTGCGCCAGTCTCCTAAGCGTTCCTTGTTCTAACAGGGGGAAAATCGAAAGAAAAAAATTGAGCGATTTTTGAGAAAATAATTGTTTAAAAAAATTAAAAATTACGAAGGGCGAGAAAGAGAAATGGAAAACTGATTTCATAATGAAGTACTAATTTGGAAAAATCCTCCAAGTAGGTTTCTTTAGAAAGCTTTAATTTGCCATTATAAAACCATTATGATGTGTTTAATCACATTGTATAGATAACTAGTTAATAGAGTGGTGCAGAATATAGTTTTTATTACAATAATTTTTTGTTTTTGTAGACGTTGTGTATCAATTCTCGCATTTAAATTATTGTTTAACCCTGTGATTCACACACTTTTGTCATTTCCTTAAAATGGGACATATTTTTCTAGAAAGCGGGCGAAACCAATATACTGCAATACGTTTAAGTTTTGTTCCAGATTTGATTCAAGTGATGCTAGTGCTCATATTGAATCTATTCAAGGGTTTAGGAAGGCATCAAAACGAACACTGACGCATCGAGTTGAATGGAAGCTCCTTCGCGTGGGTCTCGTGTTATTTTTGTGCGCGAGTTCGTTTGCGCATCGCGTGGACTTCACTTCTGCACTTCCAGCCCCACTTCCCCCTTCTCCAGCTCCTGCTGCTGAGGTTATGCGGCACAGCGAAGCACGCGAGTGATTGGCCATTTAGAATTACAACTGCCCGGCAGGAAGGCACCGCGCGCTTTTCGGCGGACATCCCCGACGTCCAAACGAGAGCCACACGCCGCAAGTGCTGCGATAAACAATCTAGCGAAATAGAAACGGGCTAGAAAAGAAGGTAGCTTATTTTGACGAAGCTGTATTTTGATTTCTGTTCACTGCTGCCTTTAACCTTTACTTTACGCAAAAAAAACAAAAAACCGTGGAGTTTTTAAAGGGCGAAAAAGAATCCTTCGTGTCGCCTTCGCGTTCGGTGAGGGGAAAGTTAAATGCCGGCTGTCGCATGTTCGTGAGATTTGAGCTTGCGCATGTAAACAGATCTCAATGCCTAAATACGTTCCTCTGAGTCAATTCAAATCGCCTGTTTCCGCCAGAAACCTCCTTTGTCTCTCTGGTGAAAGGAGCTAGTGAAATTGTGCGTGGTCAGACGGAAGAGCGGGCCTGATGGCCCGAGTCTCGCCACGTAAAATAAGGCAAATTCAATTCAAAGTTTTCTTCTCGTAGATGACGTATAGGCCTACACTTTATCGACTTCTGCAATACATTCAGTTCAATGATGCCTTATTTTACGTGGCCATCAGGCCTGCTCTTCCGACTGACTGACCAGATTTTTTTGACCGCTCTTTTCATTTACGTAGCGGAGAAAGATGGTATCGCTCGGGCGACAAAACAGGCGATTTACATTTAGCGTAGAGACTTCTTTTTGGCGTGAGGATCTTTTACATGCAGTAAATCTACGACATGGCATAGTTTTACGACCCCTACAAAGGAAGAAGATGTTTTCACCCTTAGAAATCCACGGCTTCGATCGGGATTGAACTCCTGAAAATGACTATTACGAGTAATATAATAAATGCAATAAGCAATTGTGTTGATCGATAGAGAGGAAGACACGGTTTCTCGAGCGTAATGATTGGCTGAGAGGGGGCTGCGCCTTGGTCTCCGCTGAATCCGCTCTCAGGTGCCCGGGGCCGACAGAGCCGAAGGCGACAGGAACTTACACAGGAACTTCACTCCCTTCCAGCGCTGAGGCGCCTGTGGTGTGCGTGGAGGCAGTTTGTTGGGCGATTTTAACTCGCGAGTTTGTGTCTGGAGCGACGCATACTCAGGGTGTTTTGTTCCACTCCTATTTGGCAAATTGCTTTCTTATTTTCAAGGAATTACTTCGTAAGAAGAGACAGTATCGTAATCGAATGTCGGAAAACGAATTTTCGACAGTAAAACTTTTATTGCTGGGGCCTGGTGGATAAATACTGTCCTTATATACACTTAATTATTTCGATCAACAAGAAGTAGACGTGATATACTCGTATTAATAGTTATGTACAAAGAAGGATTTGTAGAAGTTAAAATAGACAGACACCTTTAAAAATTAAACGTAAATAAAAAAATAAAGGCCGATCCGATGGATGAGATCGATAAGATAGTAGTGCCGTAGCGGTCTCAGAGCAGAAGATCGCGGGTTCGAGTCCCGCCTAGGGCATGGTTGTGTAGTGTGTGTCTCTGCATGTTTGTGTATGTTTAATCTCATTATTCATCATCATAATTTTATCACATCCTCCAGGGCTAACACCCCTGGTGTATAAAAATGGAGTCAGCATTAAAATGCTGAACGCGAATACAAATATTGGAAGGAGGAGAGAGGCTGAATACTCACTCGACGTTGCGTCCCGTGGAGTTGGGGTAGAACATGGAGAGCTTGACCTTGCGGTCGGGGCCGATGACGTAGAGCGCGCGCACGGTGTTGGCGGCGCCGAGGTCGTAGCGCTGGTCCTCGTCGATCATGTCGAGGCGCAGCGCCAGCTCGCGCGACTCGTCCGCGATGATGGGGTACGGGAAGACGATGGGCACGCTGCGCGACATGGAGCGGATGTCCTGCGCACACAACACACACACACACACACACATCACACTCTACGCTCCTCGCCCCGCACCGCATCACACTCAGCGCCCCTCGCCCCGCACCGCATCACACCACACCACACTCAGCGCCTCTCGCCACACTAACCTCACACCACACTCTGCGCCCCTCGCCCCACTAGACCACATCGATTCACACTCAGCGCCTCTCGCCACACTAGCCCCACCCCCCCGTGACACACCAACTCTCTCAGCACACACTAGCCACACCACACATATCACACTCAGCGCCTCGCACGTCACACACTTGCCACAGAGCTACGTCCAATTTAGCCATCACACCTCACTAAGCGCCTCTCGCCTCACTAGCCGCACATTGCATCACACTCAGGCCTTGCTCGCCACACAGAAGCCACAGAGCTGCGTCCAATCGAGCAGTCTCACCACCTCTCGCAGGTCTCGCCAAGGCGCCGGCTCTTCGTTCAACAACAGGACGCTAAAAAATGGGCCACGAACAGCGTACGATCTTTCCTTCCTCTTCCTTGTCACACCCTCTTACCTTACGCACGTTTACATTCACTACATAACAACATATGCCGGGAGAGCAGTCAGCCTTAGAGCTTGTACGGGCTGAACGGATTCCCTGCTGGTGGAAGATACATAGACAGGGAAAACCTGTTAGCCGACGTGTAGTTTGGGACCGGATCTCGTCATGTGTATACGCGTTCTTTGCCCTACGTCATATTCATAGACGTTCAGACCTACGTCATATTTATTCGCGCTCTATTCAAGAAAAAATTAAAGTGAATACTTGAGGTGTTTCTGAGAACACTTCTAAAATGTAAACTAACCTCAAAAATCGAAATAAGTGTTTCAAATTCGCAATTGGAGGTTGGGCAGATACGTCGGGGAATATTCAGTTTCCAAGAAAATATACTGATTGGTTTAGACATTTCCGTTGAACACAGATGGACAGACTGTCAGCTGAAGTTCTGCCGGTGACCAAATATATGATAGCAAGGGTCCACTAAATGCGGATTTTGACTGCAAAATTGAGAAAGTAATATACTCCGCATATGAACAAGATTTATTCATTTTTTTGATGTCAGGGTCCACATTACAAGCTTTTCTGAAGAAAAATCTTCACTTTCCGTTGCAGCATTACAATAATTTCTATTTACATGTAATCACCTAGTAGGTAAGAAAGTAAAAGCAAATGTAAATACAACTGTGGGCGCCACTGATCATCGAGACTTCTCACCAAACGATACGGCATCAATCTTCTAAATCAGACCTGCTCAACTAAGACGTGTGCAGGAGAGAGTGGACGTCACTCATCGGCTGTGGATGTCGCTTCGGGAGTGGAGTGTGGGGCGGGTGAACGCCCAAGAACAGACACATCGAACAGTATGCCAATTTATTATTATATTAGTGTTATAGAATTACCAAATCTATTATTTGCACTTTCGATGCTATCAGTACTGTATTAACTTGCAACCGTGAACAATGTACTATACCAGACCATGAAGCTGGCATTGCTCTGCTTACTAGATTGTCTTACTAGGCTGCTTACTACACATTTTCCTCAAAAAGATCTCAACCTCGTGACGCCAATAACGCCAATTCCGGGAGAAGGCGATTATGCTCCCTCGAGGGGTGGTGCGATCCGGCGCCATCCTACACGTCGGCTAGCGGGGTTTTCCCCAACCAGGTATCTCCCATCAGACGGGCACCGCCCCAGCCGGGACAAGCTCTAAGCTCCCGACTAATCTCCCGGAATGTGTGGTAGTGTAGGCTTCACACCACACAGGCATGGCACGTGCACACCACGCGCGAATAAAGCCAAACATCTTAACAT